CGTATCCAATAAAATTGCTCTTTGAGGAATCTACCTGCCTCGGATTTCTGCTTTCTATGGGTGCATTACTTGGAACACTAGGATGCTCTGACCTAGGCTTCCATAGCAGCACGAAGCTCAGTCCTTGTCTCAATAAACTCCTGTTATTTAATTTACAGTGAATTCCTCTCCAGCAAAATCTTTCCTCTCCCACAGTCTTTCCAGATAGTTCACAATTACCGACCTTGATCACGCTTGGAGAGTGGCCAGGCGGATATCTTTCAAATGCCGCAATACTTGGCGAGAATGCAGGAATGAACTCATTGTCTCCTTCAAACTCCCTTCCCCTGTCGCTCCTCTTTTATTCCCTATGGGAGGGGCCATTCACCGATCACCTGTGGCCTCACTCCCAAGTCAACCCTTGTTCCTTAGCTGTTCCCTTCTCCTGGCAGCTCTGCGCATGCGCACACTGGGAACAGGCTGGGAACAGGCTCCAGCTGTTCGTCTGCCTCAGTGATGTCTGACTCTGAAGGCAGCTGATAATTGACATACAGCTCTGCCCCCCCTTCTCTGCCTCCAACACAGAGCCCTCATCAGTGCCTTCCCCAGACTCCAGGACTGGCCCATGTTCCTCCCCAACCTTCTCACTCTCTGAATCTGCTGCCAGCTGTGCTGACTGCTGGTGGTCCAGAACATATGACTTATGACCCAAATGCAGGCAAATTAATTGCAATTCCTGTTTACAGTAAGGATGGAAACCAAAGTGGGGGGATAGCATGACCTCCACAGGGAAGGTGATCTACCTGTCCAGCGCTCCTCCTGAGAAACAGCCCGATCCCCTCCTTTTGCAAATGGGTAGACGTTACAAAGGGGCATCGAATGCAAGAACTCTCCCACCGACACTCAGAAGCAGCAAGACGCTATATATAGGTAGTCCTCGACTTACAGCCACAACGTACCCACAATGTATGTGGTTTGGTGAGAGAAGTTTGTTAAGTGAGTTTTGCCCCAGTTTACGACTTTTCTTGCCACTTTTTTGTTAAGTGAATCGCTTTTAACAAAATTAGGGACATGGCTGTTAAGTGAATCTCGCCTCCTCACTGACTTTGCTTGTCGGAAAGTTGCAAAAGGGGAATCACACGAACTTGGGATACTGCAAATGTCATAAATATGAGTCAAGCATTCCCACTGATCGTGGGGATGCTGCAACAGCCGTAAGTTTGGCAAGTGGTCATGAGTCACTTTTGTCAGTGCCGTTGTAACTTCAAATGGTGACTAAATGAACTGTTGTAAGTCAAGGACTACCTTTATAAACAAAGAAGAAACCCCACTCCTTCTAGCACTGATGATGTTACCTAGTTGGGTTATGAAATGTCTGCAAGAAAATAGCCAAGCTCAGAGAGCACCAAGGACCCCGATAAGATCGCACAGGATGGTCCTTCTCCAGGTGCCATCAGCTGGACAATGTTGGCTGGCGACGCCTCGGAGTAGGGCCTTCTCTGTTGCCGCTCCGGCCCTATGGAATGAGCTACCCCCAGAGATCCGGACCCTACCCACTCTCAAGCTATCAAAACCTGGCTATTCCGGCAGGCTTGAGGCTGTTGACCTCTTGACCGAGGTCCAGCCCCGATTAGACTGGGTGCATGTTGTGTTTCTTTTAATCTGCTGTGTTTTATTTGCTTTTAATCTTGTCTTAATATTTTTATTTCTGTAAGCCGCCCGAAGTCCTCCGGGATTGGGCGGCCTATAAATTTAATAAATAGAATAGAATAGAATAGA